CCGTTACATAGTAGAATATTATTTTATAATTCTTATATTTTGCCATCTTTTGACTATGCTGACACAGTATGGGGAGACAGAGGGAATGAAACCCTTATGGCAGATTTACAAATCTTACAAAATAAGGTAGCACGTATAATTTTGGACCTGGATTATGGATCGTCAGCCAGTTCTGCTTTGAAGAAGTTGGCTTGGAAAGATCTAAAGACCAGGAGGATTGTTAACCGTTTGATATTGATTTATAAATGTAAGAATAATCTTTTCTCTTATAATTTTGAAATCACATATCATCAGGATATGCATGCTTATAACACTAGGTCTAAGTGTAACATACGTAAATCAGCGGCGAGACATAAATGGGGACATTGGACAACGGTCAATTTTGCCAGCAATGACTGGAATGAATTGCCGCAAGAAATTCGTGAAGCAAAAGACCTTCAAACTTTTAAAGTCTACTTAAATAGCTTTATTGATACCTAGCTTTAATTATCCTTATATATTTAGCCTAGTTCCTAAATAGCATTACTATACTTACATTTAATTAACACTGTAAAGTTTTTTGTAGTTTAGCAGGACCCTACTGAAAAACACATTATTGTGACGTAGGCTTCCTGATTAAAAATTGCTTGAATTGAATTGAATTGAATTGAAATGCCAAAATTAAACCTAAATTTCACCCTTTTTCTTCGGTAAATTGTTTTAAAACTTTGCACATTTCTTAATATCGGCTAAACAAGCTCAATATTCTTTTTTCTTAATTTTTTTTTTTTCATATAAACTTTATTAATAACATGTTTGCCTCAAAAGCCGAGGCTTATCAAGGAGGCTCACATTTAATTTATTTACATAAATGTTTTTATATAAAAAAAGAATGTTTACAAAAATACAAACACAAAAGATACAACCAATAACAAAGAGGAAGACAGACACATTTGAGTCATAATGGCTAGGAGAAACGAAAAGTATCCAGAATATACCGTTGAACTATACCAAATAACATACAATTTTCTTCATAACTCAACTGGATAGATCCTTTCAACATACACTTAACTTTCTCATTGTCACCACTCAATAGGCATGATTGACCAAAAACTTGTGCAGCTGAGGTAAGAAGTTTGATACGTTGAGCAGCAAAACGGGGACATGATAATAGATAATGTTTTACAGATTCACTTTCTACACCACATGCACATAAAGGAGAATTACAACAATTAATACTATATAAATAATCATTCAAGGCACAGCAACCCAATCTTAGTCTTGTATGTAAGACAGAAGCTCTTCTCGTAAGTGAAAAGTTAAACTATTTATCATAATTAAATGGATGAAAATGATTAACTATTTTAGATTTAAAAATAGCATGGGAGATTGAGTTTCTCACATCAAGATCAATAGAGTTCCATAAAGAAATTGTGGAAGCAAAATAAGACTTTTTGAATTTTTCAGTTCTACATCTATACTCACTAATATTTTGGCCAGTTCGTAAAGAAATATAAGATCTTTCATTCACCAAAATCGGTAAGAGATCTACTAGGTACGAAGCAGTAGATTTATTAACTATCTTGTAGAAATGAGATAATTTATGAATTTTTCTTCTGATGCTCAACTCCTCCCAAGCAAGTTCCTCACGAAGACTTTTTGAACAAGTACTTGCTATGGCCCCCGTAACGACTTTGGCAGACTCATACTGGACACTTTCAAGCAGATCGCTATTACTAACAGTACAATTATCCCATATAAGATCCCCATACTCCATAATTGGACGTATCAAGCTCTTATACAAACAAGCAAGAGTTGATCTATTAATTTTAAACCTCAACGATTTTAACAAGTTTAAGCGTTTAGAGGCTTTTTCGTACATAGAAAATACATGACTATTCCATGATGTATTATTTTGAAAAACGAGACCAAGGTGGGTGAGAATATTAACTTCTGCTATATCACACCCTCCCATTGAAAGCACCGGGTAATTTTCCCTTCCTCTCTTATTCGAAAAATGTCATAGATCGGGTTTTAGATCGATTCATGGTCACCAACCACTGATCAGACCACTAGGAGATTTTATTTAGATCTTTATTTAAAAGTTGAGCAGAATTGATTGGATTATCAACAACTTCAAAGAGGGTAGTATCATCAGCAAAAATAAGAGGACAGGATTCTAGATCGTCAGTTAAATCATTTATTTAAATTAAGAACAATAAAGGTCCTAGAACTGACCCTTGTGGTACACCAGAGCCGACCTTTTCCCATTCAGATGACTGCCCTTCAATAACTACACGTTGAATTCGATTCTCTAAGTAACTTTCAAACCATTGTAAAAGAGGATTGCGAATTCCGATTGCTTCAAGTTTTTTTTAACAATCCAGCATGCCAAACTCTGTCAAACGCCTTACTTATGTCCAAAAAAACAACTCTTACTTCTTTGCCAGCTTCAAACGCGCAATAAATCTGATGAACAAAATACAGTAATTGATTTACTGTCGAATCACCTGGTCTAAATCCCGATTGAAACTTATATAAAAAGCCTATTTCTAACAAGAAATTATAAAGTCTGATAAAAACGATTCTTTCATGCACATATTTTTGACAAACATGGTAAAAGCGATGTTGGTCTGTATAGTTAACTTTTAATTGGGGTTCGCCTTTTTTAAATATCGGGACTACATTAGCCATTTTCCACACAGTAGGATGCTGTCCTAGAGCAAGCGACAAGTTGATAAATTTGGTGAAAAAGGAATATATTCCATCACTACAAGATTTGATTATTCTATTTCCGATACCGTCAAACCCGCATGCCTTTCTAATGTCAACATTTCTCATTAATGCTAAAATTTCATCTTCATTAGCATGGACACGAGCAAGGAACGTGACAGTTTGGAATAATGGTATATCAGGTGAAGCAACAGAATTGGCTGCCGGTAGTTGAGTTTGGGTAACAAAATAGGAGTTAAAAATACAGGCTTTTTCTCTGGGATTATTTATCGAAATATTGTTTTCTAATATCGATGGTATTCTTGAACTGCTTTTCTTGCCACAAAGATTTTTTGATATGGACCACCATTTTTTGGCACTTATCAGTGGATTACTTAAATCTTTATTGACTTTATCATAATAAGATTGTTTAGCAGATCTAATCAATTGTGTTGTTAAGTTACGTTGTCTACGGTAATTTTCCCATGAGTACTCATTTGGTCTATTAGGCCTACTCTGGGGTGGTAAATCGCCTTAAATCGCCTAAAATCGCCCAAAATCGCGGGTTAAATCGCGGGTTAAAATGGTCAAATTTCTCTTAAATCGCCTAAAATCGCTTTAAATCGCCTAAAATCGCTTAAAATCATGGGCGTACTGGGGGGGGGGGGGGGGGGGCGACCGCTCCCCCCCCCCCCAGTTTCTGGCTGGGCAGTCGCCCCCTGGCTTTGTTGGGCAAACAAAGCCAGCCGGGCAATATTCGCTCCACAGTCGGGCAATATTGGTTTATTATAGAAATAAATGGGACAAATTCTGTCAATTTTGTGGGAAATTCTGTCAATTATGTGGGAAATATGATATCTAATAGGAATTTTTTGTAATCACTTCTCCCTCCCCCCCCCCTCCCCAATCACTTCTTTCCAACCCCCTAATATTTTCCTTCCCGTACGCCCATGCTTAAAATCGCATTAACTCGCTAACATGCATTCTGTTTGATACATTCAGTCAATAATGTACTCAAGTTTATCAATTGCTGCTATTTTGCTGGCAAATCATGTATAATCCAGGTGTTTTGCAATCAAAAGTAATGCAACATGGATAAATCAAATAAGTGGATTAGGCTGACAATATTTAGTCACTCATTAGGCTCCGGTCGTTAATAAAAACAGAGCCTTTTTCTGCTTTATGCAGACTTTACAATAATTAGGCAATTCTGGGATATGAAAGACCCGTAGATTCCATTACACTACCAGCAACAAAATTGAGTTACTGGTTAATTTCATTATTGGTGTAAAATGTGGAGGCTGGGCTACAATTTATATCGACTATGGTAGCTGGGCTACAAATTAATCTATAATATACATGGCTTCTCAAAGCCTAATTGCTGTTAGAACAACAGTAGGAGACTATGATAATGAGAGTCAATGAGTATGAGTATATAATAAGGTCATCCTGCAATTTATGCACTGTTGCATGTAGATCGAGCACTGCATTGTATACAATGGTTGTACTTCGACATGTGCATGGTTATACTCTAGCTCCTAGTTATAATTATATTGGCCATCATACGAAAAACATACGTGAGGTTTAATATGAGCGAGATTTGCAAGTTTTGCAACTCTCATCTATTAAATTTTCCAGATCTGTATATAAAATAAACAGTAAAACAATTATTACATCGTACATACCATACAATCTTTGTTGTTACTTGTTTGCAGAACACTTGACAAATTAGCAGGTAAAAGACTTAAAACCACGATGTAGTGCGCCGTGTGCCATTTGTTTAATATCATTTTGTTTAGTATTTTTTTTTAATAATTTAGAATTCCGACCATTTATATGCGATGTACTTCGTGTAAATTAAACTTTACGGCATTACGCCGACAGTTTCCGAATGCGTGACAATACTGTTTCAAACTGTTTCTGGATATAGATATCAAACATAATTTTATAAAACATGTTTGTTGAAACAGTTTAAATAAAATGCAAGCTAAATAAAGAAGTGTTGACAAGATACAAAACAAGACAATTTCACTTACAAGGGTGACAAGGTAATTTATAGGAATATAGCTTATTGTAACTGTATAAATATATTGTGCGTTTCTACTCCCTGTGGGCTATGGTTCTTTTGGAAATCAAATATCTATTATATTTTGCAATTAATAATATTAACGTTTAGCCTAAGACATGTGTAGTTTAGTTATAAGTTGGTATTTTGCAATTATGTACCGTACATGCCCCTTAAGTAGAGTATATTTATTAACTGTTTACAATATTTGTGGTATATAATGTAGCCATGAATGCATGACCACATGACCCCACAAGATGAACTCCAATGGCTTCTAAATAAGACAATGGATGAAAAGTTCACGAATATTGAGCTTTATATATGATTCGGATTAAATACAATAATTATTAACCTAGCTTTATATAAAATGTACATACATGTTCTAATAATTGTATTTTGCTTCATACAATGCATATGTGTCAATGTGTGTGAAAACATTACATTATTCAGCTCACTCCCCTTTGGGGCTTTTCAGTCACCGCTTACATAAAGTATTAGGGTTACTTATGTTAGTCTAGACTATATATCTTTATAACAATGAGAATATGATATCACTTTTCTAACTGTTTTTATTCTAACCCACCCTGCCATATTTTGCCTTGTGGGAGGAAACCGGAGAAAAATATAAAATTCAATTACCTTGAAAACACAGGTCTAAATTGCAATCCCTAAAATTTAGAATTTTCTCTTAAATCGCATTAAATCGCCTAAAATCGCTTTAAATCGCAGTGCTTCAAAGTCCCAGTTTTTCCTTAAATCGCCTAAAATCGCCCAAAATCGCATTATATCGCAGCGATTTAAGGCGATTCACCGCCCCAGAGTAGGCCTGTCTATTATTATGAGTTCGAAGTTGACGCTAGACAGTTCTTTAAGGTTTTCAAGCCGTTTTTAGATTCCAAAGCTAGCGTAGTAGATGACAGTGTTATACTCTTGGAGAAGGACGGTATGGAAGTAAAAGATCAAACAAAGGTAGCTGAGTGTTTTGTTGAGTACTTTACTAAAATCGCATGTGAAATTGGCGACCCTGAGTTGTTGGAATTATTCGAGGAACAATTATATGACTATAAAAGTGTCGAAAGTATAAGGAACCACAAAGAAATAGACAATAGTCCTAAATTCAGATTTGGTAAAGTCCGTCAAGATGAAGTACAACTTGCTCTGGAGAACTTAAAAGTAAGTAAAAGTTGTGGATATGATGGCCTACCTAATAGATTATTAAAGTTAATCAGTGGTCCATTGGCACCATCTTTAACCCAGATGTTCAATGCATGTATTCAAGATAACTACTGGCCTGTACAATGGAAGAAAGGAGAGTGGGTTCCCATTTACAAGAAAGAAAACCCCAGGGCTGAGAACAGCTATAGACCAATAACAGTTCTGAGTGCAGTTGGGAAAGTGTTTGAACAATTAATAGGTAAACAATTAACTGATATGGAGCCGAAACTGGAAAACAATCTAACTGCTTATCGTAAGAAAAACAGTTGCGAGACTTCTTTAATAAAACTAGTGGAGGATTGGAAAATATCATTGGATAATAAGACCGTTGTGGGGGTACTAACAACTGATCTCTCTAAAGCTTTTGATTCACTTCATCCGCCTTTATTACTAGCAAAATTGAAAGCCTATGACTTGTCGGAAGATAGAGGCTCCAGTTATGTTGAGAAGTTATTTTACTGAACGAAAGAATAGAGTGCGTATGCGATCAGGATGTAGAAGCCAATGGAGGGATAGTAAAAGGGGTTGTCCGCAAGGCTCAAGTCTAGGCCCACTACTTTGGAACATTTTCCAAAACGATCTCGTTTATAACGTACGTAATAGTAACTTAGCAATGTATGCAGATGATCACCAAGTATATGCTTGTGGTGAAAGGACGGAGGATGTGGAAAGAATTTTGAACAGCGAGGCGATTTACATATCTGAATGGTACCAAGACAACCTGCTCAAGTGTAACCACGACAAATTCCAAGTCATGAGTTTAGGACCGAGAAATAAGAAGAAAGAAATAAACATTGAAATGATAGACGCTAAAATACGTTCAACTTCAATCATAAACCTATTAGGGATTGCTATAGACGATGAATTAAAGTTTGTGAAACACATTAGAGATATATGTAGTAAGGGAGGGAAAAAGGTGGGGGTACTTATGAGGTTCAGGAACTTGATACCGACTGAAGCCAAATTAAGAATCTTTAAAGCTTTTATACTACCCCAAATAACCTACTGTCACATAGTATGGCATCACTGTTTGTCATCAGACAGAAGGAAAATAGAGCGATTACAAGAGCGAGCACTTAGGGCCATATATTGTGATAGGAGTAGCTCGTATGAAGATCTCTTAAGGAAAGGCAAACTTCCTACATTGTACAATCGTAGACTCCAGGACATAGCCATAGTTATGTATAAAGTGAACAATAATCTAGCACCCTCTGATGTATGTAATCTTTTCAAACACAACACCAGCAATTACAATCTTAGGAATGTAAGTGATTTCTCCATACCTAGATTTAACACGGTTACGTATGGGAAACACAGCTTGAGGTATATGGGCCCGTTCATTTGATCAAAGATCCATAAGTCCATAAAACGGCTATATCCTTAGATACGTTTAAGACACATACGGCAAATGGATATAGCCGACTTAATTTCCAATAGTTGTACTAATTGCTATTTATGCAACAATTAATCGACACTAATTATAGATATTTGTTATAATATATTTATTCTGTTTATATAGTTAATAGTAGTTAATATAGGTAGGTGTCCCCAATTAGTTTCTTTGTAAACTAGAATTTATTTGACACAATAATAAAGTTTTTGATTGATTTGATTGATTGATTGATTGGTTACGTTTACGTATTGCACGACGAACCGCACCAGTCATCCAAGGTTTATCCCTTAGCCTTATGAGGATAATTTTTAACGGAATATGCTTCTCAATAATTGTGCGAAAATGGGCAAACCAAGTATTATAAACAATGTCAATATCAAAAGCACTATTGAAAAGAGAAGACCAATTTGATTGCAAGAGTTCCCTATTCAAAGTGGAGAAGTCAGCCTTATTAAAATTCCAGATCTCTCGTTTGTAGGAATGGCATTTAAGAGTTTGAATATTCATCTCAGCAAAAAGAACAGAATGGTCACAGTTAGATGGCGGACTTAAAGTTTCCATTTTTGTGAAAAAGGTCGGACAACTAGTAATGACGAGATCTAGAATTGATGCATTATGGCTGGTGACTCGAGTGGGTTCTGTAATTAATTGAGTGAGGTTGTTTCCCTCCAAGAAGCTATGAAGCCGAATCCCTACATCAGTGCTTTCTTGTGGGTAGTTGATGTTATAATGTGCATTAAAGTAACCAACAATAATTAAATTGAAATCTATTGGCAGGTCACGTATCGCATCTAATGATTTTTGAAAGTCATTTAGAAATGTGTTTATTGAGCCAAGGTCATTGATTGGAGGCCGACAACAAACACAACATAAAAAATGGTTCTGATTTAGTCGAAACTCAATCCAGAGAAGTTCGAGCCCTGCAATTTCGAGGTCAGGCCTTCGTTTTACAACAAGCGAATCGGACGTGTAAATAGCAACGCCTCCACCTAATCTCCCCTCTCTATCGCGCCGAATAATTGTACTGTATCCAAGAATAGCAAAAGAGTCACTAGAAATATGTTCATTAAGCCATGTTTCAGTAATCGCAAAAATATCAAAATTATTCTCAATAACTATGGAAGAAATTTCCTCAAATTTATCGCGTCCTACATTCAAACTTCTAGCATTGAGTTGGCCGATAGTAAAAAATTGAACTGGGCCTGGGTTGAGTTGAACATCATTAGATAGAATAATTAGGATGCATGCAACAAACAACATAACAAGGAATCCGCTAAGACGAACAAACAAAAGATCTACAAAACCATAACCACAAAAGACATTCCCAAGGGCAAGGTCAAAACACCCAGATAAATTAAACATCCCGATTGCTGCCCTATAAAATTCCAAACTAACCCCCATGAGACCAAACAAAATAGAAAAAACTTACCTCATGCTGCACACACACAAAGACAAAACAACAAAGATAGTAATATGAATTTAAAAAAGAATTGTTAAATCCCATATGAGGCGTGATCATAGATATCTTATATGGGCGTGACAAGTACATTCACAGCTAGCTGATCAAATAATTAATATGCAAAGTCAACGAGGCCATAAGTTAACAGATCATCCACAGATATTAATCGAAAAATTTTACTATCTGAAGCTCTCTTCGCAAAGATTTTGCCGTCCTTTGACCATGCCAATCCGACATTTCTACATTTTTTCTTTGCTTCGTATAAGAGATGTTGGTTTCTGCTCGTGAGATCTTCATTAATGTAATAATGGCTTGAGTACAGCTCTCGTCGTTGTCTCATAACAGCAATTTTATCCTTATGAGAATTAAAACGAACGATGATTGTTCTTGATCTATCTTCCCTAGGTTTGCCCACACGATGGGCCCGGTCAATATTCTTGTCACTGATGTCAACCTTCAATTTCTCTTTACAAAATGTTACAATTTTTTCAGCACAAATTTCACCCTGTTCTTCGTCGAGACCCGAAATTCGAACGTTGTGTCTATGGGAGTATTGTTCATTATCATTAGCCATATTTGATACGCTCGACAGTTGCAATTCGAGGCTTGATACTTTCTCCTGTAGGTCAACGATTGTTTTAGTTAAGGGCTCTATTACTTTAGATATTGCCACATTCAAAGCTTCCTCCATGGCCGATTGTATTAACTTTTGGAATTCTTCAGACTTGAGCGCCTCTTGAATTTCCAGCTTTATGGTAGCCACTAACGTTTCCTTGCTTCTTGTCGCATTCGTTATCGATTGAATTAAAGCGCTGTTTAATACTATTTCTAGCAGCGAATATACTTGACAATGATAATTATTTCATTTATTTGTAGTCAAGTTTGAAAAGCAAAATTTAAGTTTAAGCGGCTTAAAGTACGTCCTCACTGCAGCACGTTCGCCACTTATCACATTGAAGGGAATAATCTAAGAAACGCTCCATAAATTTTTTTAAAATTGAAGGAAAAAATTATTATACGAGAACTGTTCTTTTGTGCAAATTTTAAAATTTTTAAAGCGGCCGAAAAAAGACAAAATTTGAGTTTAATTATCCAAAGCACGCTGTCACCATGGTAACGGACTTTCAGCGCAAAAGTAGTTAATTGCAATGTTCAGGAGAGCATTGTTAATGTGTCCAATAAATTTCGTCTTCGTCTCATGTAAAGTGAAGATACAGGAGTTCTCTGGATACAAAAGTGTAGTATAATGCAAAAACCCTATGGAGCCACCTTAAAATAGTTTTTTATTATTATTTTATGACTTTTAAACACAGAAATCACGCGTGGTCATTCGTGGTCACTCGTGGTCACTCGTGGTCATTCGTGACCACTCGTGGTCATTTGTGGTCACTCGTGTGTACTTTTAGACAAGACCAGTTTGAAAGGCATAAACACGAATTTTGTCGAAGACGAATTTCATGTTTTTAATAATTTAATCGTTTGTTTTAATTTGAGTATAGGTGTAAACATTTCAGTAGTGAAATTCCATATCGTACTTATGTTGTGTTTCATTCATATCTGCGAAATTTAATTTTTAAGCCATAATAATAATTTTTTTATGTAGGCTGATATTTACAACAAAATTGCAGTGATTATTATTTAACGTTTTACCGTTTTATTTTGAATTCATTTTTAGCCTATTGAAATCCAAATAACATAAAAAATACATTCTAAATTTTGAAAAACCCTGATTCTTTAGTTAAAAAATTATCTCTTTTAATATTTTCCCATAATACTAGTAATAGTTAACACTACATTTTCTGCCCACGTTTGATGAACCTCTGCAATCTGTGTCTTCTTCCAACCTTCGTAGCTTTTAAACCAACTGAGTGAACTGACATACACCAGAAAGGTGGCTGCATTTTATATGTTCGCTGTTCGCACATGTATCAATGTTTGCGTATTGCGTATTGCAAAATTTCTTTGAAATTCTGTTAAAATTCCGTAATCCCCTTTAGCCGTAATGACATCAAACTTGGCCAATGAGGAGCCCCTTTATACAATCACTTTCAGAAGTTGTTGGGACACATGTAGTTTTAGCTTGTAAGTGGATCATTATAGTTTTTTACACACAATACCGCTCCCCTCCCCCTCCCCCCACCCCAATCAATGTTGTTTAAACCAAAACACATCAAACCCGACGAGAAGTGGGACACAACATTGAACAGGGGGCGGGGGGATTGTCGTTTGTTGAAATCCAAAGGTTTTGTGGCATCTGTCCCAAGACTTTTGAAACTGATTGTAGCCGTAATGACGTCACGCGTATAGATGCACTTTAACCTGTAAAATCGACTGCTGGCATTTCCAGACTCGTACGATGCAAACATCGTATTGTTTTGACGTTTTGAAATTTATTTCCGGTTCGGATTAAACGCACAATCGGGCCAGAAATGGAAATGCCGTGTACTTTTGTCAAATTCGAAGATACAGGCTCGCAAATAACTCCCGAAATACGGCAGTCCGAAGGGGCCGAAGTTATGTTCGCCGAAAGATCAACAATTGAGGAACAACAATTTAGATCAATTATAATCAACAATTTAGGATGGGACACACTTGAACGGCGTAGACTGC